ATTCTTTTTCAAAATTACGGCCCTCACCGACTTGATCTGTGGTATCTCCATCACCACCTTCATCATTCAGCTCCATGGCTTCCAATCCAATCTGTGGCAATCCCCTTCTCTGACATACGTCTCAAAAATTCGTGAGAATATTTATATGCCCTATTATTATATAACGCCTTAAGTCTATACCGATCTCCTTCTAATATTTCGGTCACTAAGAATGGTCCTCTAAACTTAGGGTCTAGTTTTGTCTGATGACGCTCTTCGATCTTAAGCAATACATAGTCACCGAACTTATATCTTATAATAGTAGCATTAGATTTATCAAATCTAGCTTTATCATAACAGGCAATCTTTTTCCATGTTTTGCTTTGCCATTTCTCTAACTTGGTCAATATCAACAACATTTTCATTTTCGACAACAGGTACGAGACCAAATGGCCTTGCTTCCTTGCCAATAAGCATTTCTCAAGGGCTAACCTTAGTCACTCTATTGGGCGTACAATTAAGAGCCAGTTGAATATCGCAAAGAGCATCCTGCCTTGACCCCTAACCTGTCTCAACCAGCGTTAGCATAGATTTTAGAGTACTCATAACTCGCTCTACTTGGCCATTGGCCCGACTAGCGCCTGTGGCGATCAAATGTAAATCTATTTTTTTAAACAGAGCAGAAATTACGGAATGCTGTACTAAAAAAAACTGCGTCCCTGATCTGCAATCAGACGAGGAGGAACACCGAACAATGATATTAGCGACTTTAAAGCCCTTGCTTTATCAAATCTAGCTTTATCATAATAATAATAACAACTCTCTGTATCCAGCCTCACTGTATGGGACAAAGAGAAAAACTTCGTGAACGGGTCTATTATATATATATTCCTTTGATTATATATTGTATATATAGTGTATATATATTATATATTTATGTATATATATATACACGATTACACGGGATGTCAATCTTCGGTATAGGATGCAATTCGGCATGTACCCTGCCAGATGAGGATTTTGTCAGTCTGCATGTAATACAGTTGTCGACAAATTTGCGAACGTAATTGGACAACCCTTCGATCCAATAATACTCATACATTTTCTCAAGGTTTTTCTCCCACCCATGATGCATAATGGACTCGTTATTTATGGCACATTATTTACGGCCGACCACCTAAACGACTTGGGGATAACAGGGAGGCAACGAGTTTTCCCATTCCTTTGCATTTTTCTATATAGTGTTCCTGCCCTTAATTCATGCGCTTTGGCCAAATCCTCAGCAAGATCATCGTTACGCAATTTACAAACAATAGACGACGTTTCCTCGTCGCGTTGCTACTCAGCTAACAACCAATTCTCAGTGATTTCTGTCAAATTTATATGTTTTTTCATTGTACCTTTTGACTTGACGCGATCTTTTGATATAGGATTTCGGGACAGAAAATCTACGTGAGCCATTCTTTCACCTGGCCTATACTGAATATCAGGCTCAAAAGATTGCATGACTCCGGAGTTAGTTCTGCTTTTGTGCGAGAGGCTTTGAGCGAATTGCAGTCAGTAAACACGACGAAATTTCGACCCTGTAGGTAATGGCGAAAATGCTTAGTAGCATTGTAAACTGCAAGGTTTTCCAGTTCGTATTAATGGTAACGCGATTCTGCTGAGCAACTTCCAGCGGGCCATAAGGGAAGTGGCCATTCTGCTCCCATACAACGACAAGCACTCTCCTTCATTTGGGCGTCCATTTAGCAAATTCATAACGGTGGCGGCCAAAGTCTCTCGGAAAAAATAATTCTCGGAACTGCGTCCATGTAATGCCGGGAAAATATGTCTGCGAGAGCCAGTGTGATGCGGTGCCTTCCAGTGATTTGCTGAGCGCCATTACAAGAGCGCTGGTATTTGTCTCACTCACGCCCCCGCCCAGACTACGTTGACGGAATCGCGTATCCGTCTCGCACGAAAGAACCGAGAAGCAATAAGAAGGAAAACAAGAGTGTACCCACAAATAATCGTTATAATTTGAATTTCCAAAACAATCTGCGACATATTTGTTATAACTGAAAAAGTTTGATATACATTATTATTATAATTTTTATTATTAACAATTAGGTTTTAATTAAAATTAAAAGGTTTAAAAGTATTGATTTTATTAAAGTATTCTATTGTGGGATATTGAGGATATAGGATCGGCGTTTTAAAAAATATTGTTTCTAATGGATGTAAACTTGAGGCAGTCGGTTAGAACGTGTCTTATTGTGTTGGTCGTACTGTTGCAGATCTGGCAATTTGGTACCTGATTACGGTCAAAAAGATGTGCGTGTGTGAGTCAGAAGTGACCTAGGCGGATTCTGGTGAATTTTATGATATCGTTCCTGTTGAAGGTGTGTTTTTTTGGCATTCAGGTCTATGAAGGTTTTATTTTTGTGTATTGAAAGTGTTTTTGGATGTAAATTTTAGGTATCATTGATGCTCAAAAATTAAGGTTTGATGTCATATGGAGTGGTCTAAAACAAGCCGCTTTTGTAGACGTATCTGCGAATTCATTACCTGTTATTTGGACATGTCCAGGTATCCAGGTTAACTTTATTTTTTGGTTATTGTAAAGAGTGTTACGGATATATTTAGCGTAGATGCATTGGGTGTTGGGGTTGGATATATTTTTCAGTGAAGAAAGTGAGTTAGAGCAGATGGCTATTTTTTTTTTAAATTAAAAAAAAATTGGAAAATTACTATTAACTCAGCTGAGTAGACTGATGTATGGTGTAGTAGAATACTGCTATTTATACATTTGTTGATTTAGGTGACGCTAAAGCTAGTTGTATTCTCTGTTTTAGTAGCGTGTGTATAAATAAATTCAAAGTTCTTTAGAGTATTTTTAATTTTAGAGAATAGCTTTTGATATATTAGCAGTGAGAGTAAGATTTATTGAATTTTCATTTAGTTGCCAATTAGGGGCGATCTTATTGTTAATGAATTTTGGTGGAGTAAAGGGCAAATTATGATCTATAAAGAAACGCACTATTCTTCCTAAGGCAGATTGAATTTTGTACTTAGAGAATAATTTGGATCTTTTGATTTATTAAACCAGAGTCAAGATAGGATAGTCAATTCTATCTAAAAAGGACTTAAGTTGACATGAGGCTATAAGGTCACGTCTAATCTCCAGTGGATAGATTCGTGTAATAAATGGTATTATCTCCAATTTTTCTCCCTTTGTGATGTCAATAAGGGCAGGTTGGCTGCTCGTAAAGCAGGTCTCTGTATTTTTGTAGAATTTTTGGAGATGACCTAGACGTAGGCAGCTACGTTTTTCAGCTTGTTTAATGTCTTTTTTTTGTAGGCGAAGATTTCCGTCGCGTAACTTCTTACAACTGACGACTACACCCCCAAATGCAGTGTTGCCAAAGTTTGTTGAGAAAAAAAAGCTGTTTCTGTCGGGAAGAATGTTGCAAAAAAGCTCGAGATTTTTGGTCGGAATTATCCTTTTTTAATTGGTTTATTTTTTCTTCTTTTCTTTTCCTCTTTTTTGCTTGCTCAGGCTTTCCGTCTTTTTTTTTTACATTTTGAAATCTCCGTATATTCAGGTGACTTTGCCGCCCGCACTACTCGACACTTGCCTTCTTTCTAATGTTTCCCAGTTTTCCTGGGCACCGGAACGGTCATTCAGATAGGCCCGTTACTCCATACATAAACCGTCCCGGGTCAACAACCCCTTCAAAAAAAAATATCCCAAATTTCCCTATATATTACTCGGTGGCATCACTAGGCAGACCATTTCCGACTAGGTGGCATCAATAGGGCCTACCATGTCCGACTCAGTGGCATTGCCTAGTCCGACTTATTTATCTGATACAACAGGTGTGTGCAAAGTCGATAGCTTTAAAACTGAGAGATTAGTTTGCGTAGAAACAGACAGACGGGCAGATGGTCATGCTCATATCAACTCAGAAGGTGATCCTGATCAAGAATATATATACTTTATAGGGTCGGAGATGTCTCCTTCACTGAGTTGCACACTTTTGAACAAAATTATAATACCCTCTGCAAGGGTATAAAAATACCCGAATTTTACATGGAGATTCCAGCCCTCACCAAAGAAAGGGTCCCTAGCGAAAATATTAAGAATTTTAATTTTTCATCTCGATTAAGGGGAGGTTCTTTTGGATTTTTCCGAAAATTAAGCAATCTTTGAGAATGGATTGCGGGAAAATGAAAACCCATATGAACTTATGCTATTGAACTTTTTGATTTATTAACGATTAAAAAAAATATTCAATATTCAGGAAATTCAAAATGGCGGCTTCAAAATGGCGAATCTCGTAGACCTCTATATTTCTGCTTTATCGAGTGTAGGGCCGCTGGTATTGAACTTAAATTAGAAATGTATATAATTTATTAAAACTGATGGAATTTCCTATGCCTTATACCTAACGACAATTATTGATTGACATTTGACATTTTTTCTCTTTTTTTTTACTTTGATCTCGTTTAAAAATTATAAATAAATAATTTTTTATGCCAATTTTAGGTATAATGCATACAAAAAAGTATGTACTTTTAAACATTTTTTGAATGAAGGAAATCGGATCTATACGCACTATAAATCATAGATCTAATTAAATTAGTAGAAGTTATTTTCGTCATTTTAGACTTGTGGGACGAACCATATCTTGACAATTTCATGGCACCAATTGCTTTAATTTGAACAAAAACCATATAAAAATATAATTTTTACACCCAAATAGGTTCAAAATCCACATAGGACTTCTAAAATGCGTTCACAAATGAAAGTCTTAGTCATCAAACATGTTTTTCAATCTCAATACTGTGATTTAAATTTAGAAGATTTTTAAGATTTTTTTTTTTAATTAAAAATTTTGTATATGTTCATATAAAATATGTGTTCCTTCTGATTTTACGCCCAATATATGTGATCACAAAATGGGCATGTAAATTTAGAATATTTAAATGTAGGTTATCGTTATTGAGTAATCGATACGAATATCGAAATAAACAATCCTATTCTATTCGACTATTACAGATTTTAAATGTAACAATTTTACAGTTGAATAATGTAGAAGTCAACACATATGCATGAAAGCCCCGATTGTTTGGATAAGCGATAATAATTAAGGTGTTCTTTTTAAAAAATAGCCCTTGTTTACTTGATTAAGGAATATATACTGTAGCTTAAGGTGCAACAATAACTAGTTGGTGCAAAAATCATAATAACATTATTAAATTTGGGTGTAGTAGAAAAGGTAAAATTACTTGTGAAAAATCCATACATACATACTCAAAGTTATCTTTATTAAAAAACACAAAAATGATAACAAAATTATTACCATTTGTAAAAATTTACAGACATTGTTAAACATAAACCTAATACAAAACGGAAAGCGCTTTAAAGCGATTAAATTTACATAGGAACATACATATGTACATATGTATGTATGTATGTACGTATGCCTGTAAAATAATGCGAGTATATAATTATGCAAAATAAAGGTTAAAATATGTTACGGTCAATAAGTATTCTTTAGCTTAAAAGGATATAAACGTATGTGTGATTATATTTTTCAATATAAAAAAACAGTGTTTTAAAAACTGCCGTTCGTTTCATTTCAGATAATTTTGCTTCTGCTTCGAAAAAAACGCCTCCGAAGCAAATGCATAAATTTCAAAGCAGCCAACGATTTGAATTTCTCTGCCTACTGCTTTGCTGTGGCTTTTGATCTTGAGCATAAGTCAAAGATACAGCAGCAGACGAATTTCGGTATTCTTTGGAATTCACATTCGTGAAAAATTAAATGCAGCGACTGTTGCTTGCTTCTTCTGCAGCATAAGTCGACAGTTAAAATTCGGTAGAACTGTCTTTCGCTGCTGGTTTTTTTTTGATTTTTAAAATTGTTTGGTCGTTCAGGTCGTTGGAGAACGCTCGTTCAATCGACAACTGTTAAGAAGACATTAATAATAGTTTGAAAAAAAAGTAAACTTAAATTAATCGCCATAATTTCTAACCCGAGTTAGATATATGTAGTTAGAATATCAAACATTACTTAATGCGTATAACTCGTCGGAGTATTGTTTTCGCTTCAAATACGCTATGACATCGATGTTATTCCTTTGATAGGGGATAGATATTTAATTCCAATAAGCTGCACCTTGCGTCGGATATGCATCCAATAACACAGTGCGACAAAAAAAGAAAAGATGGAGGAACTTATGAAGAGACCTAGTAGGAATTGTTCATTAGGTCGAGTATAGTATAAAACCATGTTTGAAATTTTTCATACACCCTCAAATCTTGATTTATTTCGAAAAATCGGTTTTTCGAAAGTGTTTTGCTCTTAAAAATTCCTGAACGCGTAATTTTAGGCCGATTTTCCATTTTTTTACGTTTTTCAATAGTTAAATGTTGTAGCTTTTGAAAAAAAAATACATCTTTAATTTATTTAAACAGAAAGAATACAAATTTTACAAAAGAAACTGACATTTTTGATTTTTTGTCGTGTTTTTCGAACTTGGACCCCATTTTTTCGGTACAACTTCCAAGAAATGGTATCATTTTTGACACATATCAATATTGTCTCGTTAATTTTGAATAAAACTAGAACAATTTAATTTCGAAATTATGAAAATTGTTGATGTTATAACGCTTTTCCCAAAACATCAGTGTTTTATTGAGGATTTGTTCTTCGGTTCTTTCGGATTTTCTATTTCGCATGATTCGAGATGTACTTGTATCACGGCTCAAAACACCCCCGTTGCGTTTTCTTGGCATTGCTCACTGTACAAAACACTCATAAATAGAATTAATGTATTTACTTTATGATAAAAGATTTTTGCTTAAACACTACTCAGTTTAAATTGAGTATCGTGAGTAATGCTATGGTAGCGTGAGTTTGTCAGTGTGATGATGTAGTAACTCACTTTATATACGATTTTTTGTATGTCGAACAGGATTTAAAAAGATGAAAAATAGATTTTGGCGGATTCTCAGACCTACTCAATACGCTCACAAAATTTTATCAGAATTGGTATAGCCGTTTCGGAGGAGTATGGTAACAAAAACTGTGACACGAAAATATTATATATATAGATCATCATTTTTTCAGATCAGATTTTTGTAATGGCTTGAAAATGTTGCAACAGTTTTCTGCAAAATCCCAAAACGTGGAGTCACCCATGGGAAGCCAAGCACCTCGTGGATTGTCTGGTTGTCGTGGTAGACGTGGGCCCCAGTGGCGATACGGAGGGCTCTATTTTCGAATGTCTGGATAGTCCGAATATTAGTCTTGCTGGCCGTGCCCCAAAGTTGAATCCCGTATGTCCAAATTGGGCGAATAATCGCCTTGTAGATTAGGACTTTCAAAGAGTTTCTCAGCTTTGACCTCCTACCCATCAGCCAATAGTACGCCTTCAATCTTACTTCACACTGCTTTCGCTTTTTGACTAGGTGAGGCTTCCAAGTAATCCTCCTGTCTAGCGCGAAGCCCAGATATATTGGGTTTTCTACCTGATATACTGGATATGATACTATGATACTGGATACTGGAGATGATATATTGGATATTAGTAACGAACTGCAGGATGTAGGCTGCGAGCATTACGTTTTATACTGTGTGTGAGCGGCAGAGATCGGGCAGAGAGATTTCCTATACCCCTGGATACCGGCACTGCCGACCACTGTTTTAGTGTTTTTAGTTTTAATTTTACTTTTTTTTTCTTATTATTTTTGTCGAGGAACTTGATGATATTTTAATTATTTGATATTTAAATGAATTTTGTGCTGATAAATGGACTTTTGAATTAAACAGTTTATAGTTTGTGTAAGAGATGTTTTGCAAATGTTGCATATTTCTAGTCCTTCGTCTAGCTTATTTTCGAAATGATTCAATACTAAACTTGGCAGTATAGCTGATTATGTGGGACTCTATTGGGAGACTTATTTAAAATAAAATACCTAACTGATAGAAGAAAATTTTTACGACTGCGAATTCCAACGACTACCGAAATGCGTCGGCTTTGTGCATCGGCTTTGACTTATGCTTAAGATAAAAAGCCGCAGCAAAGCAATAAACAAAAAAATTAAAATACGCGACTGCGACTTTTTTTCTCATTGGCCGCTTTAAAATTAATGCTTTTGCTTTGACTGCGGCTTTTGGTTTTTTTTTCGATAGCAGAAGCAAAAGCTTATTTTGAAAACTCGTTCGCAGTCAAAGCAGCTGAGAGCATAAATATTACGACTTTTGCTACTCCGTCTCCAGTTTTTTTAAAGGATCATAGGTGTGATATACGTGTGGTGAGTGAAGCGCCAAATTTTACATACATATGTACATGTTGCGATTTTTCGAAGTTTGTAGCGCCGCCCAAACAAAGACGCCCGTGTTTATCGTTTTTTTGGTTGGTTCGTTCACAACAGACATAAGCCGGTAAAGGAAAGGGAAGCACGGGCTAACAGTGGGTACAGTCGATAAGCACTGTTTAACGCATATCCATATATGGTCCGAGCTTGTATAGTAGATGACACAGCATAGAACTGTAAAACTCGCATTTTTGTTGAGTCCGCTCATACGCAAAAATTTCATTAAATTCAAGTCATTGGGCAAAACTCAGTAATAAATAAAAAATCAAAAAAAGCACAAGATTTCGTACAGCTCATTCGCGTACGATGTGAGCATTCGACAGAAAAAAGTCTTTACTTACATTCGTTCAATTCAGGAAATCTTTCGCGCACATTCGCTCAGCCTCGCCTTGAATAACTGAGCAGGTTCCTAACAACTGTTTATTTGCGTATTTTGCTTTATGTAGCTATATTCTTGGGGGCTTGGGCATTAGCAACAGCCTAAAGTTAGCAAGAACAGCAAAACTGAGTATGCAAAATAACGGTGCTTAGCAAACGATCTTTTACTAGGGCACTTTTACTACTACAAAAAGATGCTTTTGATGTTTGTGTGGATTGGGTTACTCAAGATTGCCAACCATTCTCATTAATTAATGGAGTCGGTTTTAAAAGCAACTGTTACATTATATTTGTGGACAGACAATTATGTAAGTAGAGATTTTTTGGGAGTCACCATGCACTACGAAGAAAATTTAGAACTTGACGATATCATTTTGGGCTAAAAATCAATGGATTTCCAGCGATTAAGGGGTTTTTTTTTACTTAATTTAAAAGACTATATTCTTACGCGTATTTTAAGACGTCCCCGAAGACAATATCTTGATAATTATGGAAGTTATGTTTATTTGAAGTCGGCACGGCAGGAGGGCACCTAAGACACTTCTTTTTCTTCTTTTGCGTTTTTCTCGAAACCACTTTTTTCAAGACGGTGGGCATAACTCAAAAACTAATCAACCGATTGACTTGAAATTTGAAACACATCTTCTTACATGGATTTTCCACAGAGTGACGTAGGATTTTTTCGATCCAATGGATAGAAATTTTTTTATGCAATTACGACATTTTTTGCCCAAAACATTGAGTCAAGTTTTGAAGTGCTCTCATTTGCGTAATTTTTTTTTTTTTTCTGAAACGGCTACGTCACTCTGTTCCAAATTTATCACTTTTTAAAAAAAAAATTTGTTAACTTTTTTCTGATGAAAATTGGCACGTGAATCATGCCCACCATTAAGGAGCACTCCGGAAAAACCCATGATCGCCAATGTTCATATCTCCGCCATTTTGAATTGAAAACAAATTTTTTTTTAGAATTTATAAAGCTCATTAGTTGTATTAAATAGAAATCAAAGTGGAAAAATCCTATCTCAACTAGTTTAGTCACAAGAAATTCCTGAAAAACCGTCCTGTTTCCACGCGGTCAGGGTGGCGTAACCCCTTAACTGCAGAAAATGTTTTCGCCAAATTAAGACATTGTTATCTGACTTCGGGGCTTACAAGTACAATGTGGATAATAAAAGGTTTGTGATAGACAGAGGTACAAATATTTCAAAAACATTCAATGACCACGTGCGATTAAATTGCAGCAGCCATTTTCATGCCAACGTTTTGGAACGATCTTTCATTGATTCCTTGAAGGTTTCCCAATTGGTTGAAAAGTTCAAAAACATTATTAAATTTTTCAAAAAAGCAAACACAATATCAATTGCACACGACATTAAAACTTTTTGGCCACGTTGGAACTCCAACTACTTCCTGTTCAGGTCTATTGTAGACAATTGGTTTGACATTAACGAAATTTTGCAAGAGGGGCAAGAAAGTCACCGATTGATGCTGATTGATACTGATTGACTAATA